GCTCTCCCCACCCCCAGCTGCAGGCCTCGGGCCCGCCGCCGCCGCCGCCGCCGCCGCCGCGAGAGACTCTGGCGCTGCAGGGCCGCGCTCCCTCCCCTCGCAGGGAGAAGCGCCGCGCGCTGCGGCCGCCTCAAGAGCCCCGGAGCAAGGGACGCTGCCAGGCCAAGGAGGCGCCTCGCTCGCTTCTCCGCTGCCATAAGGCGGCGCCCAGCCTCCCCGAGTTGATTTTCATTCGGTTGACATCGGCCTTGCGTACGGGGCGCTCTACCCGTTGCGACCCCTCCACAAAGGGGCCTTTGCGTGGCGGGTTGTCATCGCGGAGACCCATGTGGTGGTTACGCAGGCAGTGGCACTGTGCCGGTCCTCCCCATAGCCTAGGAGCGCCTGGAGAGGACGCCTGCCGGGTGAGGTGCCTGGGTGACCTGTAGGCAAGAACTGACCCAGGCAAAGTGAGGTCACGTTGGGGTGGGATGCTAGCAACTATTTCATGCCACAGATTGGTGCTTCATTTAGGCTCATCTCAACTGCCTCCTGCTCAATGGCACCATTTGCTACAGTCATTGTGACAAGAGGTGCAGCTACGAGAGCAAGTCCCACACAAGCATGGCACCTCTACCACAACACCATGCAGGACTGGCCAGTGAAGGCCATCTCAGCATCATTTGGGAGGACAGCTGTGAACCACACCATCCCAAGCTGCAGTAACCTGACACTGTCTTAACAGATGAGGACAAAAAAAAGATGCTAATTATTGACATGGCCATCCACTTCACCAGCAAGCTCGCAGTGAAGCCCTGCAATGAAAGCTATCCAGGTACAGAACACTGGCTAATACCCTGAGAGAGAAGGGGTGTGAAATGACATGGCAGGCATCAATCAGTGATCATTGGGGCACTTGGAGCATGGGACCCAAGCCACACAAGCATCCTGAGAGCCTGCAGAGTATCCCCCAGCTACTGAAAGTTGATGAGGCGCCTCATTATAGCTGACACCATTTGATGGTCAAGGGATGTCTACATCAAACATTACTGGCCATTGCCAAGACCAAGAGAACAGACCAAGACCACCTGCTGGAAGGGGGATGGGGGGACACTAAACACCCCTTCATGATATAGCTTGCAAAAACTGTTAAGGCCTTTGAATATTCCCCACCCTGGAAATTGTATGCCACTTTATTTGAAGCCAGTGACTTGGCAATCCTTACAAACTTTGTACCAGTGTGGTTACCTTGCATGGGGTCCTGGCTTTCTCCTTTACAAAGCAACACATTTAAGTTTTCTAACAACTTTACCACTGGCTAATTGAGGGTGCACGACTAACTGCACGTCTTAGATTGTGTCAGTATATACCAGCCATGTGCCTATGCAACAACAATGCATGGGGTTTTTTATTGTCTCTCAGCTCTACCAAGCCCCATAATAACTGTCATTTTAACATTTTAATCTTAATCAAGGTGTATATCTGTCTGGTTGCACACCATGATACTGGTCTTGCTGGTGCTTCCCACCCTGTTCCGATTGTTTTGTGTAGTTGCCTGCAAGCCATCTGCTTCTCAGGATCAGAATGTCACCTCCCTGTCTAAATGCCACTGTACTCATGTGCTTGCAGGAGCCATCATACTGTGTGTTTTGTTCTAGCCCTGTCCCATGCCTTCTCTTCCTGCTGCTGTTGGGAGCCAAGCTGAGGTCCTGCGCTCCTTTCTACCCAGGAGAGAGGAAGGTACAGGAAAGTACAAGTGCTAAACATGCTCATAGCAGGACTCAGTACAGTGCCATACTTAAAAAAAGAAATACAAAGGTGCTTTATAGGACAGAATGGGGGGAAAAAAGGAATGATTCTCCAGGAGTACTCCAGCCACCTCTCCATCTTTGAGAACTTGCCATCCCATGCCAAAATTCTGTTCATTGTCACTTTGCACTTCATCTCTGACACAATTGATAGACAACAGAATGTCAGGCATTAAGAAGTAGGGCTGGAAGGGACCTCCATAGGCCACCTAGACCAAACTCTACCTAACAGCCCAAAGCTCATCAGTATGCAGGAACCCAAATGAGACCCAAGAGTAACAGACCTTGACACATACCAGCTCCCTCTCCCCCCAGCATTCCTAGCCATTCCAGCCTTTCCTCCTGGTCAGTGCTCATGTTACCAGCACTGCAGCAGAGAATGGTAAACGTGATGTGCGTCTTTATTAGAAGTTATTTGTTATTTGTATTTCATTGATATATACCTGGTGTTTTTTCTTGCACCAGAGCTAGACGGCATCTAGAAAATAGGGCTGGAAGGGTCTTCAGAAAGTCTATGGGTAGTCAGCCTTTTCTGGCTACAGGCTGGAATGACCCATCTTGGGTGGATATAAACTATATCCCTATCAACTCCACATTCTTGAGTTATAAACCTTGTCTGCACACTCAAAACAACTGCATTCAGTGAGTCCAAGAGCTGGCCTGTCAGCATTTATTTACTGGTACAGAACTTAGAACTAAGTTTTTTTTCACCAGTATAAATCTTAGTAAGGCATTTTATATCAACAAAAAATCTCAAATGGATTTTTATTGGTGCATATTTATGGGAAAAGTACAATGTAGAAATATGCAAATTCCATTACACCATACTGTTAACAGGGCATCAATGCTGTTGAAGTGCCAATATGCTTGAAAGTGATTGCAAAACAACATTGATATCAGAGCATGCTTTCAGCATATCCACAATCAATATGGCATAGAATTTTTGATATAGAATGTTTTTGAGCCAGGCTCTGACATAGCAAGGTAGGGCTGTGTCCTTCCAGGTTCCCAACAAGATGGTTACATCCTATTCACATGAAATATCAGGGAGTACCATTCTGATGAATAATGATATAGTGTATCTAGCTGGGATCCCTTATCCTTCATAAACAGGAAATTCCTTTGCTGGTTGTAGGATGTGTCCCTGATGCTTGTGACCAATGTTAGGACTACCTGTGGAAGCACAAATACAATCAGTAGCCTACCCTCATCATCAGGCTCTCTATAAGTACCCCCAAATTGCTTGTCACTAGCAAGTCCAATGGTGTCTGACCCTATATTAGATCTTTAAATTGAAATTTCCTATAGCAAAACTGGAATTCAATGCATCACATGTAGTAAAACTCATATTGTCGTATCCTGCATACGGCATCTATGAACTATGGAGGTCTCCAATGCTGTGCTTTCAGAGCACACAGGAGAATAGGTGGGCCTCTATTACTGGAGGAGTGATGGAGAGGCTTCATGAACTTCTTTCATGAAGCTGACTTGCTGAATCATAGAAAAAAAGGTTGAAAGGGCTGTGGGAGGTTATATAGTCCAGCCACCTACTCAAGGCAGGATCATCCCTATCCAAACTACCCAGGTGTTTGTCTAGCTTATTCTTAAAACTACACAAACAACCCTGTCACACAATGGCCAGGAACATTGCTGCAAAATGCTAAGAACACCCTAATCTATCACAGACAAAGCTGATAACCCTTCCAATGATGCCAATACTGAGGCATCATGTATCATAGCATCATAATTATCCCAATACTGACAGACCTTATGCGATGCTGTGTGCTGCATCTTAGGTGACTCCAAGACTGGTTTGATGACAGTGATGTGACAGACAGGTTCCATACATTCTGTGTCAAGGACAGCATTTTATAGACCACTTTTGGATGTGATGCCACTGGTCAAAGTCAGACATGAAGATACTGGTCATGGATTGCAAAAACATAAAGCAGCAGTGAGTGGGCCCAACACTTCTAATATCTGCTCCATATTGACACAGGTGCCAGTGGAAATGCAATGGGTTTTGACAAGCGGCCATCCACATATAAGATTAACACTTCAGCAGCATCTATGAAGATGCACAAGAGAGAATACACACTTCATAGTAGTAGAATACAACCCTCTTCCTACCAAAACTCTATGGAGAAAGCTTTGTTCTAGCTCTGACATTTCTTATATTCAGTATGGAATTAATCACTGGATAAAAACCATCTTTTCCAGTCTGCAA